AGGGAAACATAAGTGAACTGCTGCCTCAGTACTACTAATATTATCACAGGGTCTGGTCCTAAGACAGTATGTGTAATAGAAGAAGCCCCACAGAAATCAACATCTTGCTTGTTTGGATATTGTTTAAAGGTTGTAAGGCAGGAACCTTCTGAGAGGACCTCTGTAACACAGCTTTTCCTGTTGACTCTGCAAAAAATTAACAATAGAGGTAGCTGGTAGCTTGGTACATGTGGTACTGGGCTTTGTCTGCTTGTTCCTGCTCTCATGTAAGAGACTTGGTGTCTCATATTCAGATCGGTTTCTTCAGCTCTTTGACTTGGAAGGATCCTTGACTGTGTTTATGGTGTTGCAGCTGTGAGTTACGGCAGCATGAGGAGCTCTTTCCACAAATTTGCAGATGGCACTGAGCTGGAGAGGGAGCAGCCAGTGTACTGGAGGGTAGGACTGTGAGTCTGAAGGACCTGGTCAGGCGGGAACCTCACTAAGTCAAGAGTGCAAATGAAAACCTTGCACCTTCAAGGGGATTATCCCATGCCCCAGTACAGGCTGGGGTATGACCAGCTAGAAAACAGCTCTGAATAAAAACGACCTGGTGATCAAAGTGGGCAGCAAGCTGAACAAGCACCAGTAATGTGCCCTGGCAGCAAAGAAGGCCAACAACATCTTGGCTTGTCTTAGCGAAAATGCAACCATCAGGTCCAGGAGAGTCATCCACCACCTCTATTCAGGATTTGTGAGACCATTTCTGGAGTATTCTGTCCAGAATTTTGGCTCCCCAATGCAGGAAAGGAACAGACATATCTCAGTGAGTCCTGCACACGGTAATAAGGGTCGTCAAAGCACTCTTGTGTATAAGAAGCTGAGAGAGATGGGATTATTGAGCCCAGAGAACTAAAGGGTCAAGAGGATATTACTACTTCCAGACCAGAAGACACAAAAATGGTGGTGCCAGTAGCTTTATAGAGATGCATGGTTTTGGGACATGAGATAACAGGGAAAAGTTGGAACAGAGTAAATTCTGATTAGAGATTAGAAGCTTCCATGACCAGAAGTGCATTCAAACACTCCGGTACCAGGGCACCAGAGAGATTGTGAGATTTCCATCCTTGGAGACACTCAAGCCTTAAGTGGACATGGCCCTAACCAATCTGATCTCATTAGATTTGGTTTGGAGCAGCAGATTGAACTAGATGACCACTAAAGTTACACTTTCAGACTAAATTATTCTTTGAGTCTTTGGTCTATGGATATAGTGGTACAATGGATGAGGAAGAAAGTGACAAAAGAAAAATAGAGAAGTCAGATGGAAAAAAAAAGGGGGAAAAAAGTTATAATAGTCAAAACACAAATTAGAGGAAAAAAACAACAGAGAAAGGATAAATGCTGATGCTGAAGTGTTATTCTAAGAGTACCTTTGCTTAGATATGGGATGTCACTTCAGAAATTAACTACTACAAGGCTCACTTTTATACCATCTTTAAGTATCTTAGAAGAATACTACTTATTGGAAATGCTTTAATATATAATTCCTCTATTTTATTTCTATATGTAGAATAATATATTGTACTTTAAAAGATACTGTTGTTCCAGAGTGTGACACTTAGAAATCTGGAAATGACAAGATTTAGACCGATTTAATTCAGGTGTTTTTACATATTTCTGAATAATGTAAATGGTGGCATGCTAATTAATACACGAGCATGAGCTATGCTTCCAGAGGATCCTTACTTCTCCAAGGAAATGAAGCAGACAGACAGTAATTCTTAGAACCTTTACTATATATTTATTGCATTTTACCTCTATACTGACTTTTTATTGAATATAACAGTATTATTCTCTTAGGATACTTCTATGGTCTTTGTGACTTTAGCATATGATTTTTAATAAACAGTAATGAACATCTCTGTTACATTTAGAAATGGTATATTTTTTCTCATTTTGTAAGAGAGATCGAGATCCATCGAAACTGCCCACTGATGGTAAGAGATATTTGAGTGCTTTGCATCTGGCATCCGTCTTTAAGGAGCTTTTGATTACATGTTAAAAATATCCTTGTAATTGATTTAATTTTCCAGTATGAATTCCCAACCTGAATCCAGGCAAGTCATTCAGACATTTCAAAAAATTACTTATTTGTACAGAGGAAAGCACAGTGTGTGAAATTGCACTGAACCACAACTCATGCCATCAGCAAAGGTCAGGTCTTCATAGCGACACAGAGGAGATCCTTATCACTTGAACTAATAGCTTCAGTAGCTGTTCCTTCTGTGGACTGACTGCCCAGGGAGGCAGGGCAGATTCTTCCACTTGATTTCATATCCATTCACCATAGGAAAAGAGATAGTCACAATACTTCTTAAGTCACAGACAGATTTCCGAGGCAATGGTGCTTGTTACTTTGTTATGAGCTCTGCTATTTCGGCTTTTGCTTGCTGTCTCTTCCCATTTTGTCTCTATGCACTTAATCTTGCTTGTACATTCATGCTGTCTCTGCCTTCTTTCCAGCTCCCCGTGAAGCCCAGGCTGCCTTGCTAACCCTTGAACCCCCAGTGTCAGATGGTGCCTTAGGACTGAGCGGTCCTGCCATGTGGGCTGTTTTCCCTACACTCCTTGAGCACAATATCTTTGGGATGGGCAGACATCTCCCTGTTCTTTTTCACTCCCAGAGCGGGCTCTAGCACGCTTTCCCAGGTCCTTTGGGAACAGTTGGTGGCCAGAAGATGGAGGCTGGAGAATCACGGAGCATCCATTTGCTGGTACATTGTTCATTCAGTCACAGAAGCTGTAAATGGATGCAGCACACTCACTACAGATGAACTCTGGAGAATGTAAGATATAAACACATCTCTCCTGAGCATAGCACACAGCACTGCAGTGTGCACGTTGTGGTTACGCTTGTGTTTGGGGGGGCTGTATGCCAATCTTCTGCTTCTCACCGGGAAAAATGTTGAAGTCTTTGGAGGTTTTTTTTTTTTGTAGACAGTGAAAATGTCTATTTTTCAGACTACATACGACTGAACTTTAGCTGGAACTTTTAAACAAACAAACAAACAAAAAAAATCAACACGGGGTAGGTATCTGATAGAGGCAACTCCATCCCAAACTGCAAAGGTTTAAAAAAGTAAAACAAATTGAGCCTTTGTTGCCAGAAAGTACTGGCAACATTAACTATAGATGCCAGTGTTATTTCTGCATATATTATCACAAGTTTTCACATATTCAAGTAAACTGTTTACATTTTTATGAAATACTAGAACAGAACCTTGATTCTGCACTTCATGCAGTTTTGAAATAGGTGTCTTGAGCATGGCACACCTATGCTCTTTATCAATTTTTTAAAATCCTATCTCATTTTTCTTTAAATCATACTTGCAATGTTCTTCCAGTAATTAACATTTTACATTTGGGAGGCAATAGAAACACGACTCAAACAAAGAAATTGGCTAATGTATTAATGTCTGGTATAGACCTACTGAAGTAATATCAGACATTAAAAAACAATAATAATAATTAAAAAAAAAAAAAAAACCACAACAAAACAAACCCCAACAAACTCCACAAAACCTCAACCCCAAATTTCTATTTGCCTTTAAGTTCTAGTAGGAACAGGTCAAGGAAATGCATTTCTTATTCAGGATTAGTGACAGACTGGTGTTAGTTGATTCACAGATATCTATGACCAAAAGCCCAGCTTTTGCTAACATCACACATTCTGTTTATGTACTCCCAAACACCTACTATGGTATCAGGGTACTGAGCTTTGGTTCTTGTGCTTTTAACAGAGGAGGCACCTAAAGAGAAAAGGAGAAATTGTTGCAATATGTGCAAGTGTTCTCTAACATAACACCGCTGGGAAACCAGGACTAGACCTTGTACACTAACTCCTAAGAGCAGCTGTAAGAGCAAAGCCGTTTGTGCTCCGAGAAGTTTGCCATGTAAATAATACTCTTTCTTTCTGTTTCAGCCTTGAACTGTGATCGAGGTGGAACGAAACTTGGAAGAAAGTTGTGCAAACCATTAGGATTTAATCCCACACCTTTCGAAATTGATGTGAACATTCCTATGACTAGAAGAAAGAAAGATCAGGAGCTTAGAAAGAAAACAGAATTTTTGAGGGAAAAAAAATAAACCCAAACCCACAACCTAAATAATATTAATAGTGATACAGTAATTAGCACTTATGGAAAATATTTTTCCTGTTTCTTCACTAGATGATGGCTATTCTGGCTTGATTTTTCTCTTTCCACTTCATAGTTCTCCCTCAAATGTAAGTAGCACCATTCTCTTTAAAATCCGCAGGTTGAACCTCCCTCCTCTTCCTTTTTTAATAATCCTTAATAGACGTCATACTCTACCTTGGTGCCTATGTGTGTTTCTATCTTATGAGGAAGAGCTGCTTTAGACAGTGAATTATACTAGTACCTTGTTTAATAACTAACCTAAACATTTGCCCTTGACATTCTCAGCACCTCAGTGCTAATTAAGCAAAATAAACAGAGACTAAATGGAAAGTGGGTGAAGTACTTATCCTTGGCTCAAAGATTTAATTTGGGATCAGCAACGCTGCTGAGGGGAGAGAGAAGTGGGAATTGCAGGTAAGTTCGCACACGAATAATGAAACGCTGAATTTTTTTTTTTTTTTAAGCCTCCGCTAATAACTTGTGATTTAAAGGTCACTTCAGAAGAAGAATCAAGGTCAGGCACCGCTAATCCCGCATCCGAGGCAGCCTTTCCTTTCCCATAGTCTCTCGCCGCGGCGGCAAGAGGGGGCGGCGAGGCCGGGGCTGCCGAGCCCGGGACACCCCGAGGTCCCAGCGGGGACGGGGGAGGCCGCTCAGGGGCGGCGGGACTCCCGGCAAACCGAGTCGAGCGCTTCCCTGCGGCGGGGGAAAGTTCCCCAAAGTTGGCCCCGGCGGGGCGGAGCGGAGCCCGCAGCGCCCCCGCCCCGCTCCCGGCGCGGCCGCTCCCGCCCCTTCCCCGGCGGAGCCCGGGCCGGGCCGCCCCGGCAGGGGCGGGCAGGGGGAGGAGCGCGTCGGGCCGGGCCGGGGCGGGCGGCGCTGGAGGGACTGGGGGGAGCTGCTGCACCTGATACACTGGGGCGGGAGCGCAGGGAGGGAGGGAGCGGCGCTGCCCTGCCCGCCGCCTGCGAGAGCCTCTCCCCGCCGTTAGTCAGCGCTGGTCTCGCTACCTCTCCCTCCGCCCGCCCCTTCTGCGCGGAGCTGGGCTCTCGCTCCTGTTCCCCTCGGGGCCGGCGGCAGCGCGTCCACCTCCTCCTCCTCCTCGTTTCCCCTGGGCCCCCATGGCTTCGGCCGGCAGCGGCATGGAGGAGGTGCGCGTCTCGGTGCTAACCCCGCTGAAGCTGGTGGGGCTGGTGTGCATCTTTCTGGCGCTGTGCCTGGACCTGGGAGCGGTGCTGAGCCCCGCCTGGGTGACCGCGGACCACCAGTACTACCTGTCCCTCTGGGAGTCCTGCCGCAAGCCCGGCAACTTGGACAGCTGGCTCTGCGAGTCGACGCTGCACAGCGGTGAGATACGGCTGCCCTGGACCCCCTCGGGTACCCCCGGCCCCGCTCCGCTCCCCTCCGCCTTCGGCGCCCCGGCCGCGTGCTGTCCTCTCTCTGCGGCCCCTGCCCAGCCCTCCTTCGGTCCTTGCTGCCTTTCCCCCCTTCTCGGCCGCCTCCCGCTCCCCGGGCACTGAGAATTATTCCCCCTCCCGCTGCCCTGGCTGCCCCACCAGCATCTCCTAAGATGCCTCTCTTTCACCCTTGCCTCCTTCTGGACTGTATCGCAGCCCCTTCCCGGGATCAGACACCCCCCCTCCCCGGACGGGAGCAGTGCCCGAGGACCTGCCCCGCCACCCCCGCTGCCCCTGCTGGTTCCCCGCCTCGCCCGCTGCCGCCCTTGCTCCCCGCGCCGGGAAAAGTCACCGGCACCTTTGTGCTCCCGCCCTCCGCATCCCTCCCCTTCCCTTCTCGAGCCTTTTCGTCCGTCCCCATCCTCCTCCTCCTTCTCCCTGCCTGCCTGGTCCCGGCGCTTGCCCTCCCCAGGCTGCGCGACTCCGAGCCCGCATCTCGCCGGCCGCGGGCTGAGGCGGAGGCGGCGGCGGCGGTCCCTGCGAGCGGCGTGTGCTGGAGGGGGAGCGCCGCACTCGGCTCGTCCCTCTGCACGCGAGATGGCCCAGAGGGCAGGAGAGATGCGGGGCTGGCTTCTGTGAGCGAAAGGGATGAATGGTTCCGTATCTGACTCGATGTTGTCACAAAAGATCTCGAGTTTGGACTAGTTTTGATTATTTTTCCGTGTGGCGGCTTTCCTATACAGTGAGAAGCTTTTTGGGATCGAGTATCTTGTAATTCCCCTCCGCCCCCATCCCCTGAAGTCACTGGTCTTGGAAAGTTGGGGCTTCCTAAACCAAAACTGGTTGTTTGTCCAGAGTGGAGACGTCTGGGCTCTGACTCTCTCCATCAACCCGGGTTTGCTTGTGTGTGTCTTTCTCTAGCAGGTACTGATCTTCCCATCGTCTTTCATGCTCCTTTGCCTTCATGCCACACTCCCCGTTGTGATTTCTTGACGCTCATTCGCTCTTCACCGTTCTAGTTCTTTGATCATAGCTTGTTATTTTTTTCATGTCATTTCACTATTGCTTGGAGTACTTCAAAAACAGGTTGTGAATGATAAAAACAAGCTGCCTGTTGAATATTTTTCAGTAAATTCTTTTGTAGTATGGTAATTGTTTTGGTTTTCATGGGCGGTTTTATTTACTTTATGCCTGATAGCAACTTCTGGAGCCCCAGTAGAAACACTGACAAATGCAGCCAGCCTCCCCCCACGTCCTTTTCATCCCCATCCCTGTCCTCCACACACACACACTTGCCTCGCTAAATCATCCATTTGGATGGCTGTGCTCTCTGGTTGGGTAAATCGTGCAGGGACAAGATGTTTATCTTGGGAAGGAAGACAACGGACTGACTATATTCTAGATGTGTTCTGTTTTCCTCTCTCTTCTGACGTCTGTGTATAGGTCCTGGGAAATAACTGATTTCTGCTTGAGTAGGAATTGCAGAGGTTCCTTTACTACTGGGCTTTTTTTTTTTTTTTTTCTGTCGTGTGCAGTAATATTTGAGGGGTTTGAATGTTGTTTGGGATTTTGTTTTAAATCACGTAACATCAAAATGTATTGTAAAGAAATGTCGGTTTCAGTCAGTTACCAGGGCATCTACAAAAAGTTTGGAGTGCTTTCTTTTTCTCCCCTGGTATAAATGGAAATTTATGTAGGAATGTCAGCTTCTACGTGTCTCCTTAGCAACGTGAATCCTTTGCCCCTTCTCCCTGTCTCCTGAAATAGTATCCCCTTGATTGCAGAAAGACTTTTCAAATGGCTTGAATGAGAACCTGCTTCAAATCCCTCCACCCCACCCCCCCCGCCGACTCCGCACACACTTTATTGGGCTCCCCCCTCGATCAATCTCCCTGTCACGCATGCGTGTGTAGACACATACACACAAAAGTGGGACGTTAAGAAAAGCAGGACAGCTCATGGAAAAGCATAAAAGGACAGTAATCTCTCGTGTTCCTCTATTGGTTCACCTGTCTGTTTGTGGGAAGGTGGAAGATGAATGGGTGAGGACGGATAGGAATGAAACACAGTTTTGTTGGATGCTACGTGTTGAAAATCTGTCCTTTCCTGGTGCTTTCTGCTGTCGTGTGCACAGATTCTTGCCTGTCCAGTTTTATTCAAACTCCTTGAATGAGCTTTACCCATTTTTCTCAGATACTTTCCAGTCTAGTGGAGGCAGGTTTCACAAGCTACTGGTGAAAAAGTGAATGATTGTTTTACTTGAGGTGCCTGGAACAAGCCCTTTACTTTCCTCATGTTTGGCACACAATGCTGCATTCTGAGCAGACCTGAAATATGAGAAACTGCACCGTTCTCCCTTTGCCTTCTACTGGTGTGTTGCAATGCCATTAAAGTCAATAGGAGGACTCCCACTAAGTTCACCAAGTTGGATTGGGCTCACATTTGAGACCATTTTGTGTACTTGCCTTCATATTTTAGGTGCACTTTCCTCTTACACTGAGAATCTAGCAAGCAGTGTATTTTGGAGATAGTGGAGAGTTCCCACAGGGAAAAGCTCTTTTAGTTTGATACCGGTGCAGGCAGCTTTGCAGCTAGCTAGCTGTGAAAAGCAGTATTACACACAGGAAAAAAGGCATCTTCACCCATGGTTTTAAGAGATTTACTTCATCATCCCTTGAAGGAGAGCACCTCAAGTGGCATCATCAAGGGCAAGCTCCTGCTAGAAGCTGTTAAAGCATATTTGAGGTTTAATTAAAACCTTTTGTTGTAATTAGATGTAGGACCCCTGACTGCTGTCAAAAGGGCAACTTGGTAGTGGAGAGCAGAAGGAAATGTACAGAGCACAATTGCATTGGCTGTTATAGCCAGAAATAATCCCTCATTTTTCCGTGAGCATTGCTAGTGTTTGGAGTATGTATTCTCACACTCATTCTTTCACTGTTCCAATTGCTTTTTTTATAACTTGCAAGCAATTTTTTTTTTTTGTAAGTGCAGGAGCTAGAAAGGTATTCTTGCATAACCCTTGTCTTCCTCTTCCCTAGATGAAATTCTAAAATTCCCTCTATCAGCAGCATCAGGAGCTGAAAAGCTAGCAAAGTTGCCAATGTGGAAAGCTTTGTGATAAAATCTTGAGATCCAGAAATGCAGCTGTAAAGTTTCACCAGCTGTCTGGGCATAAAACTATTTTCTGTGATCAAAGCTTAACTTGGCTAATGCACAAGTTGTCTTTAGGTCAGCTCTATTTTAAACTCATGTGTCTTTAAACAATTTTTTTTTTTTTAGATCTTTTTTGAAATGCATTATATCTAATTCATGATGGTTCATTTACAGATTTATCAAGAGTTATGTTAGGAATATTTGTCTTTCACAGCATTAAAACTGAATGCATCCCATTTACAACTGCTTGGTGTGTCTCTACCTGTACAGGTACTCCTCTTCTTCCTGCAGAATTAATAACAGTAAATTTGAATTTGTGCAATAGACTACAGCCATTATAGCTCTTTAAATCAAAAATACACATATATGATGTGGAAGAAATAAATGGCTCCATAGAATCTGATCTGCAGGTAAAGATTGTGTATTTTGACTTCAATACATTTATATGCTGTTCATAGAAAACAGTGGCTCCTTTGCAGCATTTCAGTTTATTGTGAAAACAGCATATATAAAAATACATTTGAATGGTTTTGTACTGTATTCATTCTGGTGAATGTGGGGGTAAATGGCTTTGTTACTTTACAGCCTGTGTGTTTCCTTATGCAGCATTCAGTTTTCTTTAAGAATATTGTACTCTTTTAGAACTGTCCATGAGCATTTGAAAGACAAAACACTCTCAAGCAACAGGGTCTCTGAATGTGTTTAAACTTTGTGATGAACAAACCATGAAGGTAAGCTTAGCTTACAGCACAGTGCAGTAAACAACTTGAGTCTAGTTTTATGCTTGTAATTTTGTTCTAATTTGTTCTTAAAATAAAAATAGCATCAGAGGCTGTTCATTCAGTAGCACTTCAAGGGGCTTAACCTTAATTATACATTAGATCCAGATATCTGAATTGACATGCCTGAATAGTCTTGGATGGTATCTCCTTGTTTGGAATTTAAGGAGTTGTTCCAAGGGGAAATTGCTAGCTCAAAAGCAGCTTCCTCATTAGAAGATCTGGATCATTGCTCAGATTTGATGTTGACATATATTTGTAAAAAGCTCAGCAAGGCTGGTAGTTTGCTGTAAAATAACATAAGAAGAACTAATGTAATTTTACTAACCTGAAAAAAAGTGGCTCATACAATGTAAAGAGGAATGAATAAAACATGCCCTCTGGTTTTGAGGGCACCCCTCTAATAATCATCCCCAACACTGTATCTGAAGGTGGATGTAAAATAAAAGGCATGCTACTTCAAACTTAGGTTCTAAGACTGATTAAGCTGACCTAACTTTGAAGTTGAGTGTAACTTGGAGATTGGCCCTGCTTTTCGTGTGGAGCTTGACTAGATGACTTCCAGAGGTCCTTCCCAACCTAAATTATTCTGTGATTCTATGATGGCTGATACTCTGTTTATATCTGATTTCTACTTGGCTTCTTCAACTTGTGCAGAATGCCTTAAATTGGTTAACTACCCCTCACAGTAACCCTTGATAGAATATTTTAAGGTCTGCTCCCTCTTTTACAAATAGACCAGTTTTTTTAGCCTTAGATTTCCCAAGGCCATGCTCTGTGGGTGCAGCAGATCTGTCACTCCTCTTCAGCAGTCCGGACCTTTTAGTATGATGGAGCTTCCACTTCATCCACCCTTCTCCAACCAGCTGAGATGTGGTTAGAACACATCTATGTGTAATACATGAAGTTTGTATGAGTTTATCTGATCAGGTCAAGAGCACCAAACACCTTATCAGTGATAATACTCTTAAAATAAAAAAAAAAAAAAAAAAAGAGACTTGTAGCTATAATGGGT